ATAATATTAGCATGCCTCATAAACATAATGGTAGTAGAATCTACTTGAAAATTTTGCTGGTGCTGTTAAGTGCTGTTGAGTCTGTTTCAAGACTGTAAATCTTTACAGGAGCAGAAAACCTCCTATTTCTCCTGCAAAGCCGTTGGTGGATTAGAATCATCAAACCTGTGGTTCATAGGCCAGTGCTTTTCTGACAGAGCCACTGTACTCTCCACTTGAAAACATGATGGACAAAATATTGTTGTAATTTATATTAAGGTTCATAAAGCAGAATCTAAAATGTTAGTTCACTGTTTTTCTTCTAATGTTGAATTTTAGTTTACAGGTTTCAATGGAGTTTCTAGACTAAGCCAGACCAAGTAGCAGTAGAGACAGATCACTTGTAAATGGTTAGCCACTGAAAATCTTTTGAATAGCAAAGGAGTGTTCTCAGATGTCGTGTCAAAAGATGAGCCCCTTAGGCTAGAGATGAACTGAAAGTAGAGAGGACCTTAATGACATGGATGGAGTTAAGCTTTTGGGACCTTATTTTGCTGATGTGGCACAACACCAAATGAAAAGAAACAGCTTTAATGATCAATTAATAATCAAGTACAAAGTACAATTAATAATCAAGTACAATTAATAATCAATGTACAAAGTATGAATCTAGGAGATTAGAACTTGTCAAAAATGAAATAGACTCCATAAATACCAATATACTAGTTATTAGTGACCTGAAACTGATTGGTATTGGCCATTTGAATCAGACTATCTCATGGACTCCTGGAGTGGCACTATAGGATCAACACTGTACTTTGAACCTTAAGGTTGTCAGTTCAAACACATCAGCTGCTCCTTGGAAACCCTAGGTAGGGTTGCCAGGAGTTGGGACAGATTCAACAGCACTTGACAATGACAAGAATAGCACCATATGGTTTATTATGTTTGGAATAAAAACTTGAAGAGAAATGGTGCAGCATTATCAAAAAGAACATGTCTGGCATTTATCTTTGCTGCAAATATACCTATGAATGTGGTAGGGCATACAGGGACAAAAGGAGGAAAACTTCTTATAAATTACCAAATACCTTGAAACAATGAATTGCTGGACCTGAAGTCTCAGGAGTATAGTGTCAGGGGACACTGTAGTCAATTGACATAACATAAAACACAAAGACAATGTCCTATATCCTAATTTGGTGAGTAGTCACTGTAATTTTAAAAACTCATGAACAGTCGCCAAAGGTGCAACTAACTATTGGTCTTGCCATGTGTGGAAGAAATAATAGTGATGAAAATTGATGATTGCTGTTGTTAAGTGCCACTGAGTTGATTTCAAAGCATAATGGCCTTGTATAGGATTTCTAAGGAGCAGCTAGTAAGCTTGAACTGTCAACCCTGTGGTTCAAAATGACCTTGCAGTCCAGTGTATCAACACGCAATGCCACACAAGCACTCTTTGAATTAATTAGTCCAATGGACTAATAGAACATGTGAATATGAGTTTTCATGATTCTGAGACAAGAAGAACTATCTGGTGCCAGGTCACCAAAAGCAACTGCTCTGAAAGGGACATTAAGAGTTATTGGATGGAATGGGAGACTATGTGGAACAAAACTAATAATTATAAAAAGACAGGGCTTACTGATTTGAAAAAGACTAGAGGAATCTGAAATGATGGCATTCTGCTTCCATTTGTATCTGGAACAGAACTCACCCTTTTGATGCAATTCTCAGCCAAGCAGTTAATAAGTATGGATGAAGAACACTATTAGTTAAGTATGCTTACCATGGAACGGACAACCATTCAAGATCTAAAAGACAACATTTATCTAAGGACGAAGTTAAGAAGCATTAAGGATGAGGATGGAATGGAGCTAAGAACCAATAGGAGGAAGTGGATAACTGCTCTTACAAGGAGAGGAATGCAATCATTGAGATGGAACAAAGCGTATCATTTGTTAAATATGAAACTGTCGATCTGCTCTGCAAACCTTCACTCAATTCACATAACAGGAAAAGAAAGAAAAAAGAACATGTCAAAATTAATCTTTACATGCAATGTTATCTGTGATAGGAAAATATCTATATGACTACAAGAAAAAATAGTTGACACTATTATTCACATTTAAACATTAATAACTAAAACCAGTAATGATGAAATTGAAGAACTCTACTAATTGATTCAGTCTTAAATTGGCCAAACATTGCAATCAAGATGCATAGATAGTTACTGATATTGTAATGCAAAGGTTGGAACCAAAGAAGATCAGTACTTAGAAAATACGACTTTGGTGATAGGAGTGATGTTGGAGATTGCATGATAGAATTTTGCAAGACCAATGACTTATACATTGACAAATGCTTTCTTTCAAAAACATAAATTTCAACTATATACTTGGGCATCATGAGATGGAATATGCAAAAATCAAATCGACTACATCTGTGGGAAGAGATGAAGGATAAGCTCAATACCATCAGCCAAAACAAGACTGGAACAAACCATCAATTGGTTGTATGCAAGTTCAAGCTGAACCAAAAGAAAATGAAAACATATCCATGAGAGCCAAAGATAACCTTGAGGATATCCCATCTAAATCTAAAGACCATCTTAAGAACAGATTTGTTTACCAAAGATTACAAAAGTGGAGGGATGACATCTAGAACATCATACACGAAGAAAGCAAAAGGTCGTTAAAAAGACAGAAAATAAATAAATAAGAGACATCAAAATGAATGCAAAAAGAGATTCTGAAACTTTGTCTTTAACAAGGTGTTTTAACTAAGTGCAGCTGAGTTAGTTCTGACTGATAGTGACCTGTACAGCATTTACAAGGAGTGCTTGGTGGGTTTGAATTGTCAACTTTGCTGTTCAAACTGACCTTGCGGTCCAGCACAACAGCACTACACAAGGAGCTAAAACACCTGGATGAAATGATGGAGTAAAAGAGCTGAACAGAAATTTTCAAACGGCAGCCTGAGAGGAGAAAATAAAACATTATAATGAAATGTGCAAAAACCTAGAATTACAAAACAAAAAGGGAAGAAGATGCCCAGCAATTTTTAAGCTGAGATATCTGAAGAATAAATTCAAGACTCAGGTTACAATACTGGAGGATTTTATGAGCATATTATTCAATGAATCTGGAAACATCAAAAGTAGATGTAAGGTATGCAGGGAGTTGCTGTACAAAAAACAATTGATTGATGTTCAATTATTTCAAGATCAAAGGCAATTATAGTACTGAATGAAGAAATTCAAGCTGCACTGAAAGCATTGGAGAAAACTGAGGCTTGATAAATGGACAGAATACAACTGAAATGTTTCAGCAAACTGATGCACCACTTACGGTGTTCACTAGTCGCTGTCAAGAAATTTACAAAACAGTTACCTGGTCAAATGATTGAAAGACATCCACATTTTTCCCATTCCAAACAAATTGGACCCAACAGAATATACAAATTATTGAACAATACAATTAACATCACATATAAGTAAAATTTCGCTGAAGATAAAAATTTTAAATGGTTGTTAACAGTATATCAATAGAGAACTGCCAAAAATTCAAACCAAATTAAAAATAGGACATAAGATAGGTCTTGGCTGAAAGCAGAGAATACCAGACAATGTTTACTTGTGCTTTATTGACTAAGCAAAGACTGTAGACTGTATGAAAAATAACAAACTATGGATAACATTGGAAAGGACAGTTATTCCGGAATACTTATTTGTGCTCATGAGGAAACTGTACACAGAGCAGGAGTTAGTCTTTATAACAGAACAAGGTTATTTTGAATGGTTTTCTGTCAGGAAAGATATGCACCTGGGTTGTCTTTTCACTACACATATCCAATCTGTGTGATGAACAAATAATCAGAGAAGTTGAATTTTATGAGAAGAATGTGATATCAGAATTGGAGGAAGACTCATTAACAGCTTGAGATAATGCAGCTGACAAAACTTTCCTTGCAGAAAGTGAAGAAGACTTGAAATACTTACTGATGAAGATCAAAGACCACAGCCTTCAGTATGGATTGCAACTCAATGTGAAGAAAACAAAAACCTCACAATAGGACCAACATCATGATCAACAGAGAAAAGAATGAAGCTGTCAAAATGTTTTTGCTTGGACCCACATTTAACACCCTTGAAAGCAGCAGTCAAGAAATCAAAGGATATATTGCATTAGTCAAATCTGCTGCAAAAGACATCTTTAAAGAAGTCATTTTAAGGACAGCTGACCCAAGCCAGGGTGTTCTCTATAGCATCATATGCATTTGAAAGTTGGACAATGAATAAGGAAGACCTTAGAAGAATGAATGCATTTGAAATATGATGTTTGTGAAGAACATTAAATATACCATGGACTGCCTGAAGAGTAAGCACATCTGCCTTAGAAGTACATCCAGGATGTTCCTTAGAAATGAGGATTGTGAGACGTTGTCTCTCATACTGTGGATATTTTTTGTCAGGACAGATCAGTCTCTGGAGAAGGATATCATACTTGGTAAAGTGGAGGGTAGGTTAAAAAGAGAAGACCCCTAACAAGATAGATTGCCATGATGGCTAGTAGTTTTGAACTGCTGACCTTGAGGTTATCAGCCAGACTCATAACCGCTAGGCTACATAACTATTTCAGCACATAGTCCTGATATAGCTCTGTAGGATAAGCTTTGAAGTGCGAGGTCAGTTTGAACAGTGAGCTTGGTGGTTCAAACTCATCAGGCACTCCTAGAAAACCCTACGCTGGGTCACTCTGAATAAGAAGTGACTGGATGACACTAAACAGAGTTAACAACATCTCATCAAATTCAGGGCATCATTATTTTCTAAGTTTTAATATGTATCTGTGATGGCAGTTGAAACTCACAGTCTTATCACTGAATCAATTATTTAACAGTAGGTGCAGTGGTTTCTTTAATCTCACACAGAGAAGGGAGATCATGTAGCAGCAAAACAAACTCTCATTCAGGAAAACAGTAGTGATCAATTTAAAGAATAGGAAACATGCACTTACTCTGAGGAAACCGTGGTGGGTTGTCGTTTACATCAGTCAGGGTGATATTTACTGTTGTTGATCCTGAAAGCCCTCCCACTTGCCCAGCCATGTCTTTGGCTTGAATGACTACTGAGTAGTGTTCTCTGGCTTCTCTGTCCATGTTATGTAAGGCAGTTCTAATAACTCCTGTAATACACAATGTAAAAAAAAGTCATTATGAGTTAGACAATACATGAGAAGTGAATGAATTAAATATATTTCATATAATCCTTATTATTTTACAAATGTCTTATAAGTAACATGCATTTAAAGGTAGCAGTAATTCTAACACAAACAGTAACAACACTGTAATTAAATTTCTAATAAAAATGCCTCATTGAAACATTTATTCAGATATTCTTTGTTAGGATTCCTTGAGATGAACATCCCCTAAAGGACAACCCTTCAGCTCAGACTTGATTCCTTTAGCTGGTATGCAGAACATTTTACAATGTGTGCTTCTCAGAAGTGTCAGATGAGATGGTCATCTCAATTTAAGCAGATATGAACTTTTATCTTTATATAACAGATTATGTAGCTTCCTGGCAGAAGAGTCAAGTTTGATAACAGAAAACAATGGACAAGTGAAGAGACTCAAAGTTTACAGGCAGGAGTCACATTACAATTCATCAACACAAGATATTCACTAATTTAATCAGAAAACAATTATAACTATAACTATATATATTGTTAAAAACCATGGAGCAGCTGGTGGGCTTGAGCCACCAACTTGAAGTTCTCAGTCCAATGCTTATCCTCTAGAGTCACCATGCTCCCAGACTACATATATGAGTAAATTAAAGCAAGCTAGGGTATTGATTCCAGAAGTCACACATGAACGTCATATTCTTTACCTTATGTTGTTGTTGTTGTTAAATGCCATCGAGTCAGTTTCAACCCATAGCGACCCTTTATAGGGTTTCCAAGGAGCTGCTGGTGAGCTTGAACCACCAACCTTGCAGTTCAAATGGCTTTGCAGACTGGCACAGTAACTCACAGTGCCACACCAGGACTCCCTTTACCTTACAGTGATAACCAAAAACTGAAACCCATTGCATTTGAGTAGATTTTAGCTTACAGTGATAATATAGAATAGAGTTGTTATTGTTATTAAGTGTCATTGAGTCAGTTCCAACTCATAGTGACCCATTGTAGGGTTTCCAAGGAGCGGCAGCTGAGCTTGAAATGCAGACCTTTGCAGTTCAAACTAACCTTGCAGTCCAGTGCATTAACCCTCAGTGCCACA